CCTACTACTCACAAACCCTGAGTCATCCCTGGCTTCAGTATCCCAGGTTTTACAAGCTTTTAGTGAGGTGTCCTAAAGTAAACGCTTCTAAATCTCAACTTCTGGACTTGGGAGTTAGTCCCGGATCCAAGAACCACCTGCAATCGCGGTATCCTTTCCAATGGTGCACTAATGGGATCTCCCATTTAGGGACTACTTTAACTAACACCATCTCCCATATATTTGAATTTAATTATCTACCTTTAGTGTCCCGACTAAAGTTGCAGCTCCAGGGTTTTCAGAGACATATTTTGTCTTAGTCAGCCAGGCTGGCAATCTTTAAAATGATGGCACTGCCTCAAATATTATACCTTTTCCGCACCTTGCCGGTACCTCTACCGACCCGCTTTTTCAACACTCTACATACATTGATGCGTAGCTTTATATGGCAAGATAAAAGACCTAGATGCCCCACTCCTACCCGTTTATGTTTGATAAGTAATGAGGTCTGGGGGTCCCTGACGTAAGAGACTATTACTTTGCTGCTCTCCTTGACCCACTATGGGCTTGGCTGAGACCAGAACAGAATAAATTGTGGTGTGATGTGGAAGCGTCTTTTATCCTGAAAAGCAACCCTTATATCTACTTGATATCACAGCTAGTCCCCAAAGATCTGGTGACTAATTTCTCCCCTATGACTCGAGCTTCCCTTCTGGCATTCAACAACTACTGTACGAAACTCGGATATGTCTGAAAATACCCCTTGGGGCGTTGCATCTCCTTATCCTCTTTATTAATCTGTCTAGCTGGATATAAAGGGGTATAGCCATGGTTTGGGATTTGTTTGTGGGAGAGTCCTTGAAGTCCTTCCCTGCTTTGGGCAAAGAGTTTGAAGTACCAAACGTAGACTCGTTTTTATATCTCCGAATCTCTTATTTTTTTCAAACTACGTCTCTTAGAGACTGTAGAATTCCGAGATCTGCCGGGCAATTTTATTTTTCCAGCCCCATGCAGGCTAGGGGGATTTCGATGTTTTACGGCTCTCTACAAGACAAGCTAATTTTTTCTAAATCTGGCCCATCAGAAACTGGGAAAAGGATCTTCAATCCTCATTCTCACCTCAACAATGGATTAACGCTTTCACATATACCTATAAAGCTACTAAATGTGTCGATCTATGGGCTTTGGGACATAAAATTGCCTTACAATGGTACTCAACACCTCTTAAACTTAAAATATATACGCCTCTACCACATCTGAATGTTGGAGATGATGCGGTCAAATAGGGAGTCTATATCATATTTTATGGTTCTGTCGCTGTCTGAAAAGTTTCTGACGCCAATATTTTCAGAAAACATCACAGGTTTTATTGGGTCTCCCACCCCCGAATTAGCGGTTCTTTCTCTGGGTATCGATAACATCCCACCTCAATTTCAAATGATAGTTTCTCATTCTCTTGGCAGCCAGACTGACCATAGTGCGCCCATTGGAAAAGCTTATTTTCTCCAAATTTGTCTGAGACTGTTGCCATAGTTATTCTCCATTACCAACATGAAAGGATTGTATTATTTCGGGATGGTTCTACAAAGAGATTTTATGATGCCTGGTCCTACTGGAAACCTTAACCTGGCTCCTGAATCTCACCCTAATGGTTGTATTGTATTGCATAACTTCTCTTTACTTGGCTTTTTTTTTTTGCTCTCTCTAGTCTCACCTCTCCTTCCGTGTTCTGCTATATTCTTCATGGGTGTATATACGTGAGGTATTTGTATATGAGTATACCTTGATATCGCACCGCTTGTATGCTCTCAATATGTGACCACCCTGAATGTTTTGTACTTTTTGTTTTAATTAAAGAAGACATGAAGACATAAGGCCTTGTTCACAGCAAATGCAGAGCAGATCTGCATGAGTTTCTGCACACGCAGTGCAGTGGGTTGTGTCGCGTTTTTGATGCGTTCCGGGCCGTTTTTGGTAAAAAATAAATAATAAATTTGTTTTAGTTTAAAATGGGCTTTCAGTGCGTTTGCATGCATTTTTGATGCATTTGCATGCGTTCCAGAGCAGGTAAAATAGGGCCTGCTGCAGTTTTTTTAACCTGCTCTGGAACGGAACGCTGCGATGTGAACTGGAGCTAAAAATACCATTGGAATACATTGGACACAATTTTGCTCCGGTCTGTAACTGCTCTGCTCCTGGAACGCGCTTGGTGTGAACAAGGCCTAAGTCTGATAATATCAACAAAACCATCTACGCAATAGTATACTGTAGACATAAGCTCTAAGTGTTCCACAAACGCAGGAGCAGTAAGGAAAGTAGTAGACAGAACTAAGCAGAGAATCCAGCTACTAAGGTTTGGTATACTTTCATTACAGCAATGGCAGGAGGCATAGCAGAAGAAGTGCTTTGGAAAGAGTTTCCAATGTCTGGCTTAGCCTGCATCCACACCTGAGCAATGGATTTTGTTTTTGTGTGCATTTTTACATGTGTAAATGCACAAGTATTTTGCAAGCATTTCTGCATGTGTATCAAGCTTCGGATGTTTTTGTAAATGTACATTTACTATACAACAAAAGCTATGTAAACAACTACTTTATTACAGGAAAAACAATACAAAAACCATACAGGCTGATACATACATACACATGCATTCACTATCCCTTCTCTGGCACATGCAATGGTTTCTATAATAGGAGACACTAAAGGTGACTTGACTTCGGTTGTGGCAGGTCTACAAACTCAGCATCCAACAGGACTGTCGTGATTAATTGTTCACAGGAAAACGGCTTGTTGGAGTCTCTCTCGAAGTGTGACTTTGTGTTCTCTGTGGTCTCTGAAGTCCTCTTTGGTCAAAGTTCCATCATGAAATCCCCAACTTGATGGCTTTTGCCTCTCTTTTATTCTAATGTCCCCCATTCACTCCTCTTATAGAAACCATAGTAAGGAGGGATAGTCTATGCATGTGTATGTATTTTTTTTCAAAATGTAGTTTGTGCATGTAGCACTTTTGTATCGTAAACAGAAAATTATACTGAGTCAGTTTCCTTGGCTTTACTACAAGGATTAGACAAACAAATAGCTGTAAACGTTTGTCTAGCATTATAGACTGCTCCCTTTGGGCTTGGGCTCCAACATGATGTACTGCTTAAAGGTGGCCATACACTCTACAACCATCGCAAGACCTTAGTCTTGCGATGGTTGTACAGGGATTAAAAAAAACGTACGATCTGCCTATCTTGGACAGGCAGATCGCACTCTCGATCATCGCAAGCCCACCCCCCTGAGGGGCGGGCTTCCGATGACCGCAATGCTGAACGGGCAGTGTGCGCGTGCGCACCCCCGGCCCGTTCGGCATTTGTCTTCCGAGCACAGTTCTAACCAGCCGAGAATCGTACGATTCCCGGCTGGTTTTCGAACATGCTGGTCCGACGGAAGACGTGCGACCGTACAGTAGAAACGGTCGCACATCTCCGTTCACACTGCTCGATTCTCGTACGATCGCGGGATTTCCCACGATTCTCGTACGAGAATCGAGCAGTGTATGGGCACCTTAAGAGACATCCTGATTGTGATTACGCAAGGTTTTCCACCTGGTGTTCTCAAAAGAGAAGAAGAGGATCAAATAGCTGGACGTGACCAGGTCGCTGTAGGAATGAGCAAGGACTAGCTGAGGTGGAAGCCTGGGTTTCTTGCAAATAGCAGCTACGGAGTGCACATGTGATCCTCATTTTAATAATGCAGAACTTAACTGTCCCATTTGACCACCACTCAGTGGATAACCAACACAGTACACAAAGTCTGGAAAAAGTCATAAGCAAAGCCAAGTACCCAAAGGTAACCTTCCCAGCAGGCCTTGCAATGTTTGGACCAGCAGGGTCTGGGCACAGCCTCCAAAGCGAATGCAGAGTATATGCTGATCCAGGTACCTGCATAACGAACATCCACCTGGTAAAACTTAGTGAATGTGTAAACAGAAGAACAGGTGGTGGCTTAAAAAATGTGCAGAGCCAATGCCTGATGCCAAGAAGTCCAAGACGCACTGGCAGATCCAATAGAGTGCACCTTTACAGGAAAAGGCAGAATCTTACCACTAGCACTCTGTGGCGAATACAAAGCATTGCACTATGTGTCAGGACGGGTGCTGAATGCTAGATCCAGGGACCGAAGCTACATTACAAACTGGCCTCTTATCTTCAGTCCTATGGGGTCTGGTTAGGTACCTAAAGCTGTTGAAATGGAACACTGATCCGTAAGCTGCTAAGTCAACACCGAGGCCAGAGAAACTTGACTGAAGAATCATAAGAAAAAGCTGCATACATCTCCACTCAGTAAAGAGGAGACATCCATCACCTAAGGACACTTGCTAAAAAAAAATCAAAAAAAAAATCTGAGGATTATTGGGAGTGAGAGGGCTCAAATGAAGGTCCTCATAGTTCTGGCCAGTCACCTGGTGACACCTAATTATTACCCAGTAGTCTCTAAATCTGCTGGTGTCCTGTACTGTATGATCAAGAAAAATATTTTTCAGTTTGTATTGTAGCCATGATGAAGGGGGGAGTGTCTTAACCTCTGAAATGTGTTGGATTTCTTTGTATTCATTATTTAATAAAATACTCCTTTGGACAGTCTAACCATAGGTGTGGCACTCCACTCTTTCAGGGGGTGTTTTGGTGTGTGTGTGTGTGTGTGTGTGTGTGTGAGCAGCCCAACCAAAGGAAGTTAGTGTAATTAATGAGATGGTCCCTAATAACATTGGATACTAATAAAAAAATCTAGCACTTTTGTTTGTACTACACATGGCCTCAGGGAATTTCTTCACCTGAATTACTTCTTAATTCGAGACAGAGCACAAAACATATGTAGATTTATTTATTTATGTAAAGATATTTTTAGATTTGGCTTATGGTCCTCTACAGAAAAATAATTCAGTCTTCTCAAGATGTCACAATCATTTTTAAGAAACTATCAACATATATCTAACATTATAGTGTGTGTGTATACGATTTGTAAATAAGACTTACTCTTGCACTCTGCCCAGCAATTAGCTGGTCATCTTCAGTCTGAACGCTTGTTCGACTTCTCACATCAAAGTCTTCTGTCTCAAAATCAGAGTCATCCAACTCTTCTGGTGTCTACAACAAAATTATATTTTTCAATGAATGTTCTGCTGTACAAGATAACATAGAATGAAAGTTATGCATTTACTGCCATTTCTCAATTGCTACACAGTGTCTTTTAACCCTTTCACCACCATGGACTTAAAGAGGAACTTTACCCATATCTTTATATGACAATAAAAGGCATCTTTAGAAAAGTTTAGTAATGGCAATCTGCAAACAGATACTTATAGATAATTGTCAGCATTTTATTCTTTGCATATCTTAATTTTTTTCCCCCCCCCCCCCCCCATTCTTCTCACAGTGACCATTTTAACTAACGGTTGATAAAACCATATACATTTCCTGGATACCTGGCACATGTGACCAAGGCATGTACCAATGCACATGTCGGGAAAAATGCCTGAGATTTTGCAGCTTACAAATTAGATTTTCTCAGCAATGCACTGTAATGTAACCTTCCCAGTATGCATCACTTAAGTATGGGCTATGTCAGGAATTGAAAGAAAAACATTGTACGTAAAAGAAAACTGTTTTAAGTAATGAATGAAAGAGTTGCACACTGATGCGATTTTTAGAGAAAGGGGATAAAAGTCCCCTTTAAGTAATATGTCTGTAGCAGCAAGGCACAGTAAACATGTATTTGACTGACTGTTAACTAAAAAAAAGCCAACTGATCAGGAGCCCAGCAGCATACTGTATCCCCTGCAATTTTGGAGGTCAATTTTTATGCCTAAAATGTGCATTTTAACACACACACAAAAAAAAGAGCTGGCAGTGAAAGGATTAAAAGAAACTCATTTTATACAGATTAACTGAAATATCTGTAGAAAAAAAAAAAAAAGAAAGGGGAGAGAAAGTTAAGGAAAAAGAGTGCAGTCCATCCAGGGATTATAAGTCAGTTAGCCACGGCTTCCAGATCCTGGAATCATTTAACATTGCTGTCAACTTTTCATTTATCCTCATGTCCCCGAGCCTCTGTTTAACTTTGTTAACGTGAAGGGTAGGATGTTTCTAGGAACTCGCAATGGTCGGGCGGGTATGTACTTTGGGGCATGACCACTAGACGTGGAACATGATACCAGGAGAATCACAATTAGGGGAAGCAGTTTGAACAAACTTTGCAAATCTATCCGGCTTTCGATACCAACGCATCAATACCTTTTAAGAATTCTCCAAAGAAATACTCTTTGAGGAGCATTTACAGGTGAAACTCGATTAGAATATCGTGCAAAAGTAATTGCAGTAATTGCTGCAAAAGGGGCCCAAACCAAGTACTGAGTACATATGCATGCTTGTACTTTTCAGAGGTCCGATATTGTTCTATGTACAATCCTTGTTTTATTGATTGCATGTAATAATCTACTTTTTTGAGGTTGTGGATTTGGGGTTCTTGGGGTTTTCATGAGCTGTAAGCCATAATCATCACAATTATGACAAATCACGGCTTGAATTATCTTGCTTTGCATATAATGAGTCTATCTCATATATTAGTTTCACCTTTTAAGTTGCATTAGTGAAATAAATGAACTTTGCACGATATTTTAATTATTCGAGTTTCACCTGTAGATACATTAAGCCAGATTGCGTTTCAGTCCGTAGATCCCAACTTAGCCTCCAACTTTAACATGTATGGGTGTCTCGCAGGTGCTGGTGTACAAGTTAAATCTCTATATAAGGAGAAGATTAATTCTGTGGACTTGGGTGTGACCCGCGAAGCAATAAACTAATTTGAAAATACCCAAACAACTCAGAGGAGAGTGTTTTCCATGTTTTCTGGGAGATATAAAAAAAATGTAATCCCCTGGGTAGTAAGCAGTTGATGCTTATATCAGACCTTTAAAGGCCCAATACAGGAAGGCAGCCAGGTTCTCAAAAGCCGGTGGAAATAAAGGACACTGCAATAAACCCAGGAAAGGAAGCTGAAGGGAAATCAAATTCTTAAGAGAATTTCACCACATCCCATTTCTTGAGAGTGCATCAAGGTTGGGTCCAAGAGCTTTGGACGGAGAGTCGGAGGAAGTCAAGCCAAATTGTAAAAAGGAAGAGGAATTATCGAGATGACCCCATAATTATATATTCTCAGTGTCATGAAGGTTAGCCAGCAGGGTGATTTGTGACGCAAAATAATACTTGTGTACATACTGGGCACTCCTAGTCCCCCAGGCTTTTTGCCCATATAATATGCTAGTATACTCATAGTATTTTCCTGTGTTCAATACATAAGATATGTCTAGGGATGGGGAAACGGAAGAACCCACAAGTAGTAAAGCAATTAGGTCCTCTTAATAACGTGGATTCTGCTAGCCTGGATTCTGCCAAACCTATACAAACAGTGGGTCTTTCACCCATCTGGCTGTTTGGAGAGGGCACTGAAAAGGGAGGGGTAGTTTGCGCTATAGAGGGGGTCATAAGAGGGGGGAAAGGTTGATACCAACATTGGGGAGTTGCAAAGTCCAAGTAAATGCAAAATTCTCTTGGATGTGGGAGAGTTGCTGAGGGTTCAGGGAGAGCTTTTGATTTTGCTTCATTGATAGACAAGCTCGATATATCGCCAAACAAGGCAAGCATGGTGAACAGATTAATAAGCGAAAAAAGTATGTTAGAAAAAGACAAGATCATGTCATCAGCAAAGTATAATGCCTTATGGTGCATACCGGCTGTCTTGATGCCTGTGATGTTTGGATTACTTCTAATGTCCATAGCCAGGGGGTTGCAGGGCTAGAATTAATTAGATCGGTGAGAGGGGGTAACCCTTTCGGGTCCCTCTACAGATTGATATAGCAGTTTTACCTCAGTTTTGTAAGCAGAGGCCCGTGGGTTGGAGTATAAATTTATATTCTACTGGATAAAATCTTCACTGCAGCCCCATTTGCGGAGCACACAGTCAACGAGAGCATATTGAATGCTTTATGCACGTCCAAAGACCGCAACATAGCTTGCAAGTACGATTACAGGCTAAATGTGCGAGTTGGATCACCCATCTGAGATTATCTCCCGCCTGTCTCCCAGGGACAAAGCTGAATTGATCCTCATGTATGATTTTTGCCAAAGAAAGAGTTTAGTTGATTAGCCAATATTTTACAGTATATTAATATCCACATTAAGTAGTGATATGAGTATAAAATTAGAAAGTAAATGAATGCCAGCACTGGGCTTTAGTAGCATAATGATAGAAGCTGTCAGCATACTGGCCAAGAAGGATGCTCCTGGTGTCAGGAAGTTAAATAAATAGAGTCATTAGGTACGGGGTCAAATGGTCTGCACACTTTTTTTTTATAAAACTTTACTAAATACCCACCAGGGCCTGGTTTCTTCCCCTGAAGGGAAGGATTTGAGAGCCGCTTTAATTTCTATTGGGTCAATGTCTTGTGCTAGCATGCACAGTGATAGGTGGTACGGAGATAACCTTGAAAAAGGACTCCGCTTTAGAATGGGAAAACGAAGTCTGGCCCACATAAAGGGAAGCAAGGAAATCCTGGAAATCCTTCACCATCTTAACAGGATCAAATGTTAAGATTGCTTTGGAAGGAGATTGGCGTGAATTTGCGCTCAAAGCAACAAAGTTTGTTGACCAACATCTTGCCGGGTTTGTCGATAGTAAAACTTATGCTTCAAACAGCATAACTGACGTTTTGCCCTGTCTGGGACACAGGTTTAATTACTCCCCCTAAGTCTCCAGCTTTCCTCGTAGCGAGAGGGAAGTAGTTTGTCAGTATAGTACAGAAGTTGATTGCAACTCAGATTCGAGAGAAAGAATGTGGCTCTTCTGGTCTTTGCATTGTTGGGATGCTACTTGTATCAAGTGCCCATGGAGAACCTCTTCCCATAGAGTTACCTGGGAAATAGCTGAACCTACACTAGTTTGGAAAATAGTCCGAAATCATCTTTTCCAGTTGCTTGACAAATTCCAGATGGGACAGCAGAGAATTATTAAGCAACCAAGGAGAAGGACCAGATTTTAATAAAAGAAAGCTGCACACCAATAGAACAGGATCACTGTTCCACCAGGGCGTAGCAATGATCCTTACCAAGGTGATAGCTGGGGGATAGTGCATATGTACCAAAATATGATCAATTCTGGAAAAAGAATTATGTGATGCCGAATAGCAAGTATAGTCTTGCGATATTGGATTCAAAATTCCCTCAAAGCACCCATAAGGTTCTGAGATCGGAGCAAGGTCCGGAAAAGAGATGATTAAAGGAGAACTATGGGGTTAGGGCTTTTCCCCATAGTTCTCCTACGGGTAACGGGAGGACACAAACTAGCGTCCTCCCGTCACCCTAAGCTCAGTATACCGCAATCTGAAGAGACGCGGCAGCTGAAACGGATCCCGACAATTATGTCTGGATCCGCCCAGCTGCGTGAGTGACAGCTGGCTCTGCCCATCTAGAGGCAGAGCCAGCTGTACCCGCCCCCTCCCCCATCCGTTCCGCCTGTCAGCGCTGGAGGATCAGAGCGGGGAGTGGGGAATCCAGTCTCTCCCCTGTCACAGCTCTGTGCCGTGACAAGATCGAGAAGTGAGCGAACACTGGTATGTGTTCGCTCACTTCCCGATCTACTGAGCCGACCTGCGACAGTTTCATTGTCACAGGTCGGCTAGAACTATGAGGATGAGTGAAAAGCACTCATGGTTCTCCTTTAAGAGTTAAGGGTGGTAGCAGTGACGGGGGCAGATCAAAGAGAGAGAGAAGATCAAGTTTTTCTATTAAGAAAATTGGGAAGGTGACTGATGCTCTCCACCACTAAAGACTGTGTATGGTTGAACCGATGGCAGTCAGACCCCTTTGTAAGGAAGGTAAATAATTCCACAAAGTGGACATAGACTTTGGTACTTTAACCTTAGGGATGAGATATTGGTTATTTTATTGGTTATTTTTCCAGCAAAATCTTTTCTAATGTCTGAAAACAATAACTAGGTTTCAACTGTGTAAACTGCAAAACACATTAGATTGATACTTTACGGTTTCATTGCTATTATTTCTCAACAGAAAATCATACCCGTATCATCAGTACGGCCTTGCGAATATCACGAATACCATCATAAACCAGTCTAGATGCATCAATAAACTCATTTTCATCCATCTGTTGGTGGGGATCTCCACTAAGAGCTTCCACTGCTGCTTCAACTTGCTCCGTGAATCGTGGCATAACTAAGAGGAGGAAGGCACAAACGAAATACATGGTAAACACTCTATTGTGTTCTACATGCTTTTCCGAGTAATAGAACAGTGAAGTGGTAAAACTTAAAATTGAGATTATCCATTAATGCATTATTTAGTATAAGTCTGCATAATTAAAAAAAGTCTTACCCATTCTTTTGACAGCCAAATGGTAATCCAGTTTATAGTACTGGCAGTCAATTAAACCCCTGGATCCATCACTCCACCTGCATTTAACCCACTTTATGTTTAAGAAGTGCATTAAAACATTAAAATGCAGATCTGTTTTGTGAAAATCTCAGCACTTTTCTTTGGTGCAGGCACCCAAAGGCATATGCAGAAATAATGTGCACAATCTGACAAGCTTCAGCATTAGCAATGTGTAATGAACACCCTAGTTCCCAGCTGAAAAATCTCTATAATTTAACTGTTATCATGAAATAATTTAGTGTTAGCTTACTGCTGTTTTGCCACAAGGATACCATTTAACCCCAGCCCCTTCAGATTAGCCATCCTAAACGAGTCAAATGGAATGACCTGTTGTCTGTGCACATCCTGCATTGAAATTATTGGGGCTCTGTGGAAACCACGTTGTGTTAGTACCCATCTCTACAGTTACTAGCCACCATTAACCCCTTCGTGACTGACGACGTACAGTGTACGTCGCCAGCATCGGGGCTGTTTAAACAGATTCCCGGCGGAATCTGTTTAAATTTGAAAACTTTTGCCGCCGGGAGTCTGTTTAAATTTGTAGAGCCGACTGTCAGCTTTACAACAGAAGCGATCCTGGCGACTTACCTGTCACCAGATCGCTTCTGTGTCCCGAAGAAGGGGCCGCCCCCCCCCCCCCCGGCCGGACACCCCCGCCGTGCTTCCCGGGCTCCGTTGCCCCTCCTACGGGCCCGGGACCGGCGATCTTTGTGTCCGCGGGGAGCTGGGGAGGAGGTCGACGAACTTCCGTTCATCGATCCCCTCCCCGTTCTATGGGACCGGGAGCGATGCAGATTGCATCACTTCCGGTCCCTGGGCTGTCAGTTCTGGGCTCCTGCAGCCCAGCTATAAGCTATTGAAGTGCGATCTGCACTTCAATAGCTTATTTCCAGTGTAAAGGTGACACTGAGGGTCTTTTGGACCCCCAGCATCACCTTAAAGAGGACCTGTCACCACCATCTGCTATTACATGGGGGGGCTTGCAAGCCCCCCCATGTGATAGCAGTCAAAGTAAAGTAAAAAAAAAAAAAAAACAATTTTTAAAATTAAAATGAAATAAAATAAATCTAATAATAATAAAAAAAAATTTTAAAAGTACCCCGCCCCCGCGAGCACGCGCGTCGCCACGTAAACACGCGTCGGGTGCGCCTACGCATGAAAACGACGAACGCGCTACACATGTTGGGTATCGCCGCGCACGCCGGAGTGAGAGCAATAATTCTAGGGCCAGTATTTTGGGGTATCTCTAAATTGATGACCTGTGGGGGCTTTTAAAGTGTCTTTTATTGACTTTTTGGGGTACTGCAGTTTTTCGCCGTTTCACGGTCGCACGCAATCTGTAAACTGGGCATGTTGGGTATCGTTTTACTCGTTGTAACCTCATCTTTTATATTTCATTAAAAAAATGGGTAATTTGTTGTGTTTTGGGGCATTTAATTAAATTTGTCACTAAATTTTGGGGTTTAATAAGGAGTTGCGCTAATATTGCGCAACATAAAAATTTTCAACTACCACCATTTTATTCTATAGGGTCTTGGCATTTAGAAAATATATAATGTTGGGGGGTTTTACGTCATTTTCAGGCCTAAAATGTGGAATATAACATGGGTGCAAAAAATGAAAAAAGGGCCTCAGTCATGAAGGGGTGAAACTCAAAGTACTGTGTACTGTGTCAGTTAATAACCTCACATGGCTTCCAATACCATCTATATGCCGATGACACTCAAATATATATTTCTATATACAGCTCACCCCCTCAGTGTCCTTGCGTGTCACTAATCTACTGACATATCGGTCTGGATGTCGCAACACTTCTTAAAACTCAACCTTTCAAAAACTGAGCTCATGATATTTCCTCCCGCCCGTGCACCTTCCCCCCACCTTTCCCTTGAGATTGATAACACAACTATCCAACCCTCCCCCCCATGTCAAGGTGCTAGGTGTCATCCTTGACTCGGACCTCACCTTTCTTCCCCACGTCCAATCACTATCCAAATCCTGCCGCCTTCACCTTCGTAACAACTCCAAAATACGCCCTTTCCTCACCAATGAAACCTCAAAATTACTCATCCACAAACTTGTTATATCTCGTCTTGACTATTGCAACTCCCTCCTCAATGGCTTACCTCTATACAGGCTATCCTCGCTTCAGTCCATCATGAATTCAGCTGCTAGACTCATTCACCTAACCAACCGCTCAGTGTCTGCAACCCCCCTCTGCCGATCCCTGCACTGGCTTCCAATAGCCCAAAGGATAAAAGTCAAAATATTAACAATGACTTGCAAAGCCATCCACAACTCTGCCCCCGGCTATATCTCAAACCTTGTCTCAAAGTATCATCCTAACCGTCCACTCCACTCTTCAAAAGACCTTCTGCTTTCCAGCTCCCTTGTCAACTCCTCCCATGCACGCCTCCAGGACTTCTCTAGAGTCTCTCCCATCCTCTGGAACTCTTTACCCCAACCTGTCCATCTGTCTCCCACTCTGACTGCTTTTAGGCGATCCCTTAAGACTCATCTCTTCAGAGAAGCCAACCTAACCGCTAAACCATCACGTTTTAAGACAATTCATCCCCACACAGCTACCTCCTCATGTATCACTTCCCCCTCCCTTTTAGATTGTAAGCCCTCAGGGGCAGGGTCCTCCTTTCCATCTTGTCTTGAGTTGTGATTTTAATGTCTTCCTTATATTGTAAAGCACTGCGCAAACTGTTGGCGCTATATAAATCCTGTATAATAATCATAATACTGCCATTTTTCTTGTATGAAAAGTTTGTGGACAAATTTACCAGATCTAGTGTTCCAATAAGCTTAGGGCAAATTACAAAGTAATTCAATTGTGAAAAATACAGGCCAAACTCCTGTACAAGAAAAACACAATGCAAGAACTAGGCTTGTATTCTACCCGACGGATTTGATTTCCATACTAAGTGTATTATGTACTAAATTTGTATCAATGTGGCGTTTAACCACTTGAAGACCAGGGTGTTACACCCCCTGGTCGGTCAGGCCATTTTTCAGTATTCAGCGCTGCGGTACTTTGACATTTACTCAGTCATGCAGCGCTGTACTGAAATTAATTGTATACCATTTTTTGGGGACAGATAGAGCTTTCTTTTGGTGGTATTTAATCACCACTGAGGTTTTAATTTTTTTTACTATACAAGAAAAAATTTACCCTAAAATTTTGCTAAAAAAAACCCTGTTTCCCTATGAAATGTTATGAAACATTTATCACCCCAATTTTTTGGTAAAATATAAAAGACTGAGTCACATTGGGTAAATAGACACCAAACATGTCAAACATTAAAAGTGCGCACACCCACGAAATAGCAGAAAACGACCACACCCAAAATTGGCCATAGGCGACACTTTAAAAGCTTTTACCGCTCATCAGTTTAATGTTATCAGTAATTGGTGGCCCTACAATTATTGCTCTCATTCCGACGTTCGCGGCGATATGTAACATGTGTGGCACAATAAGCAGAATCGTCGTTTTCGCGCATAGGCACATGTTTGCGTGTGTATGTAGGGGGGTGAGGAACTTTTAAAATGTTGGGTTATTTTACTTTTTTTAATTTTTATTTGTGACTTTTTTTTTAGCTTCTTTATTTTTTTAACATTTTTTTTTTTACACAACTTTATTGCTATCACTTAGGGGACTAAGAAATCCCCTATGTGATAGCCAATTCACATGACAGGTCTTCTATATGGAGACATCAGGTGTCTCTAAGACCCTTGATGAAGCAGAGATCTGCTTCACCAGCTTCTCACCGGTGTTCTGTACCGGAGGGGGATACTGAATGCAGGAAGTGATGTAATATACATCACTTTCTGCATTTGGGGACCGAGAAGAGATCAAAAGGGAGATCGTGTACTGACCTCCCTTTGATCTCCACTGAGAGCATCGCCGTGGCGGTCCCACAGTGGTTCTACGGACCGGCAGAGGTACGGGGGGCGCACACCCGCAGCTCCTGCAAGCGATCGGGTGTGTCTAGAGGTGCCCGATTGCTTGAACATAAACAGCCATCGCTGGCTGTCTACATTGCTAACAGTTCCCCGCTCGTGTGCGGGCTGAGCATTGCGTCTTAAGACGCCCACCCGCTCCTACAAGACTCCCGTCCGGCCATTCACGGACGGAAGGTGGTTAATAGTGACGGAAAGAAAACATTCACTAAAAAAAATAGACTATGAATTTTCCAAGCCACACATTCACTGGTATGCACCCATTTGTATAGATAATTGTATTCAAATCATACCAGTGTTTGACAAAAGTTTTGTGGCTTCCAGAACTTTTTCTGTGTAAACTCCTGGTTCATAGTTATCCATTTCTGAAGTGACAACGTGTATAACTCTAGCTGCACGACCACGGATTGCGCCAGCTGTACGGTCCAATCCATCAACATCTTTTTCCTGAAGTGCTATTACACATTTATTAACATCCTCCAAAATATGGTTTTCTGAAATTAAAAAAAAGGGAAAAAAAAACATTGTTTACATTTAAATCTGGATAGTAAGGATATCATAACTACAGTCGTGTGTTAACTATACCATTGAAAGTATTTTGTTATATCTGTTCATGAAGAGCAAAAAAATAACATCTACAGAAATTCAGAATTGTCCTGTGTACACTTCCTATGCTATCTCAAGGATTCCTCACAGTTGTCATCTTGCACTATGGACAATTAAACCCTATGTTGTGGAGAAAAGGCGAATGGGAGGGATTCAGTTTAAAAACCGACAACTGGGCAGGGCTAAAGCCAATTTTTGGAAATTCAGTCCACAAAAATGCATGCGCTGTCATTCCACCAGAGACAATTAGGAGTTTTGTGCATTTCTTGCAGATCAACTATTATTTTTTCTGTATTTGCAGGGAGTATAACCCTTTTACTGCCATTGATGTAAGGCTTACATTGGTGGCAGCAGAGATCTACAAACGTACGCCTGTTTTCATGATTTGCTTTTTACTAAAAGTGGTCTGGATGGCAGTAAAGTCCTTCAATCCCTTCTTTAGCCTGTAAAAGGCTGTCAGCCCCCAATGTGATGGTGATAAAAGTTAACGTTTTTAACAACCCACCCCTGTACATTCAAAAGTAAATGCATGTGTCATGTGCACCTACGCATGTGACAAAAATATCAACTACCAACATTTTATTCTCCAGGGTCTCGGTTTCTACAAAATATAGAATTGGTTTCAGGTTCTAAGTAATCTTTAGCCCTGAAATCTGCTTTTTCACATGTGCAAAAAGAGAAAAAAAATGGCTCTGGCAGCAAAAGTGTTAAAGGGTTAAAACATGAGGAAACATGCATGTATTGCAGAGATGTGTGTAAGTTTATTTATTTTTTTTACTTTTGGCCTGACAAAAGCTTGTTTACCTGAAACAGCCAAGAAATCATCGATTGAAGTAATATCGTCAACAGCATCAGTCAAAATACGAACTTGTCTTTCCCACTGATCTTTAAACAGGTCCATTGTTTCTTGTGCCACTTTACTATGTGGTTTGGCTGCAAGTGCCAAAGCAGCATTGATAACCTGTAATACAGTTTACCAATTGTAAATGCATCAAATGCATGGCATAACCGATTTTATTCTAATTTCTTTACCTATAGGGTGGAATCACATGAATGTGTGTTTGTAAAAACACAACACAGGGCTCTCTGTGCATTGCAACTAATTTTGAATGTGCTGCCTTAATGCAAATCTTGTTAATACGCTGTTGAAGTATTAATCCGACAACACTCTACAGACATTACATATCAACTTCCACTGAGGACAGGACAAAGTGGCTATGCATTTTTATGTTCAGATCTCTGCTGACGATGGTGTGTCCAGGAAGCGGATGTAAGCACGTGTGTGTGTGTGTGTGATCCAGCGTGGATGTTGCTGCGGCCATCCTGATTCTCTCCCTCAATACTGTTGGAGCTATCCTCTTCTAATGCGGACTGGCCGAGACGAAGGCCCGGGTGAGCAGCGGGAGGGGAAGTGGGTGCTCCCAAATGTGCATTGGCGACCTTCCCCTCAACAATAACCTGGGTCCGGGTGTGCTGGTGGAGCGGTGTAGAGGTGAGCTGCGGTGGACGCCACTCCGAGCGGCAGCGGGTGAACGCTTGCTTGTCGGCTGACTGGGTGAACTAGACCTGGTGGTATTGGCTCCCTCCAGTGGCTGAAATTAGGAGGTGCAGTGTGCTGGTCTGTGGAGAGAAAGCTGGTGGAGGGGAGTTGGCTCCCCTGGAGGCTAAAAAAGAAAAGTGCGGCTTGGCAGACTGTTTAGGTGAGCAGTATTAACCCCTTCATGACTGAGCTTGTTTTTAGTTTCTGTTCGTAAATGACTGACACACTTTTGACATTTTTGCTGTGTGATTCTTCCACGTCAGTAATATACTTTCTTACAAAGTGCACCCACACATATTATATATTGTTTTTTAGAGGACAGATAGGGCTACATATTTATATCACATATGTGCGTCTAACGCCTCACTTAGGACAAATAAAATATAAAAAAAGAGGAAAAAACCGTTTAAAAAAAACACTTTTTTCCCAGTTTTGATTTGTAGTATTTTTTTTACAAAACCAGCACAGCTAAAAAAATGCAATAAATACATTCATTTATTTGTCCCTTATCTTATTTTATTTTTTACACATTTTTTTATTTTTTTTACACTTTTCACATTTTTTTTTTTTTTTACACTTTTCACTTTTTTTTTAAACTTAAAAATGTTATTTTATTTATTTAATTATATCAAGCAGATTTTGTGAATTAATCTCACTGTTACTGCATGATAAATTAATACATTTTTGGTTATTATCAGGCTGCTTCAAACTTCAGAACAGCCGATAATAAGTTAGTGACACTGATCCTGCAGCAGTTCAGGATTCAGCTGTTACTAAATGTTTTCTGATTGTTGCAACAACGATCAGCAAACAAACATTCTTCTTCCAGGAATAGATACATTGTAGGAATAGACACATTTTGTATCTATTCATGAAAGAAAAAAAAAAAAGCCAGTATAGCTTGAGAGAGATATCTCTCGATCTATACGAGCTGTCAGAATGCCGGCAAAAGCCGGCATCTGTGTCCGCTTTGCTTTGACTCTCAGACACCCGATATTAAGGTATCGGGTGTCTGAAAAAGGTTAACCCTTTCATTAATGAATGCCTCTGTAGTAAGGGCATCCATTAATGAATGTTAAAAGCTGATTCTCAGCGATTAACAGCCCTCTAAAGCAGCAAATAACTCGTCACGTACAGTGTACGTGACAAGTCATTTGGTCCCTTTGTGGCTGGACGTACAGTGTACGTCTCCCGTCACGAAGGGGTTAAAGAATATGACCAGGACAAAAAAAAAAGACTGTTCAAGAGGCTGGTAGTAGTGGGAGAACTAAGCAGTCACCCCGTATGTCCAAACAGGCCAGTAAAGAGAAGCAGAAAGAAGTGGCATCACGATTGGAAGTTTTTGCTAGCCAACCAAACTAATAAAATACGATTAAGTTAGTTTGGGGGACAAACCTTTGTATAAAGTGTCTG